CATAACGGATTTATCCAATGTTATAAAAACCTTTTTAAGACGTTATGTGGAGGACATGAAACGTTCTAGAAACGTTTTAGGAACGTTTCTAGAACAAAGACGTTTACGTGCCCAGAGGGTTGTGGCCTTAGATCCAAATAATTACAAGAAATAAGCTCTTTGTTAATAGAATTGTTTCTCTATTTCATTGGCTAATGCATTTTCGCTGTGAACACTAGCTGGAATCAGGACTAAAAATATATAGGAGATATAAAATAAGAGATATAATATATACATAAGAGATATAAAATTTTACAAATACACAAAAATCGGAATGAAATTCATTTATCATAGTTTTAACTTACCGCAATTGAATATTGCGAAACATTTGTTTTAAAAATATTTAGGGTTGACATAATCTATGCAATCATTCGTATGATAATAGATTCCTTAAATAATAGTGGCGATACAACAATAATTTGTTAATACAATTTCGTGGTTAGAAATAGATAATAAGATAAAATATTTTTAAAATAAATAATAGGACAAATCATTGTTTTGGAGGTAGAGCAACAAAAACATGTGCTCAAATTGGAAATAAATAGATAACACTTGCCATACAACAACGGTTCGAAAGTTTACAGAATTTTCATTTTTTATATGATACAATAAACAAACAGTATTTAACAAAAATTAAGGTCCTTGAAAATACCAGAATTATAATTATGAAAGAAGAGTTCGACTTTATCAACCAATAGTGACATCTTTTAGATGTCAATTAAACTCTTGTTTTAGAGTTAGTTATAAGATAATCGCAAAACATATGATTTTATGGTCTTTTTATGGTTTTCACCATGTGCGGCAATTTCTACTATGGTTTTAATAATTTACGCACAAAAATACGTAAGCATACCCGGCGAGCGTAATATTAATAGGTTTAAAATTTACCCTGTGAAATATTCATTTCTTGATAATTCGAATTTGAAATGCTGAATTTAACTGTCATTTTTAATAGCTGCTCTGGTTACGATAATAAATCAATAAAAAATTTTACAATCCTTATTGTTTATTTATAACTAAGATTGTCAAAATATGTACGCTGACTATAAAACACACCAAGAGTATTGTTTTTTGTATAATGTACAAAAAGATGGAATCATAAAGGTACTTCACTATTATTGGTTACTAGGGATAAATAATATATTGTACTATTTTTACAATGAACTTTTCATTTATTTAAACAATTTATTATTGCTAATTTATAACAATTCTGTAAACAAAATAGAGAAAAGCAAATTGGCATATTTGGCAGCTTTTATTGGTATTAATATTTAATGTTAAATCAATCAATTAAATTAAATATATTATATTAAATTTGCTCTAGTTATTATTTTACATTGTTTAGACAAATTAATTGTTGATATATATTAACTTTTTACCCATTGCACATAGAAAGATGTAGTTGTTTTCTAATCTTGCAATTTTCGGACCTACTTATAATAATAACCGATAAATGTTAAATTGCTATTTTAGCATTTGTTTGAACAATTGTTAAAGAAATTGGTGTTATTTTTCAATAGGAAGACGCAATTTTTGGACCTTTTTATAATAACCGATAAATATAAAATTTCAAATCGCTATTTAAGCAATTGTTTAAATAAATAATTGTTGTTATTTATTAACTTTTCTCCTATTGCCCCTAGAAAAACGTAGTTTTTTTTCTGATTTTGCAATTTATGGAGCTAATCATATAGTAACTGATAAATATTAAAAGTCGATTCGCCCATGGTTGTTTCCTTTATCATATTTAATAAAAATAATTGCTAAAATATTGATTTGACATTTAATATTTATCAGTTATGATAAGTAGCTCCATAAATTTCAAAATTAGAAATAAATGTGTCTTTCTAGGTGCAATGGGTAAAAAGTTAATACATAACAACAATTGTTTATTTAAACAATTTTTTCAATAGTTTTAAGCAGTTTAACAAAATTTCTTATTTGGATTATTAACCACTTCACTGGCAGGGCGTTCCAAATGGCGTTCCACGCGCCGAGGCCCAGACTGTCAAAAACACCGAAATGGCGTTCCTAATAAAACTTTATTTTTAAAGAGTGTACACTACTTTTAATTTCTACAAAGCAATATTTCTATAGTTTAGACATCAGGGAACAAGATTATCCAATAAAAATTTCAGTTTTTGAGATTTTCAATGTTTCTTCGAACGTTGAAATAGTCCATTTTTACCACTTTTCAACAAAAGGGCCGTTCAAAAAATACGTAACGCTTTTTGTGGGGAGGGGGGGGGGTCAAGCTATTTGTTACGGTCAGCAGAAAAAATGGCGCTAATGTATACAACATTGCGTTACATGGGGGGAGGGGGGTCTAAATTTCCGAAAAATAGCGTTACGTATTTTTTGAACGGCCCCAAATGGCGTTCCACTTTTTTTTCAATTTATACGCAGTAAAACTCATATTTTTTATTTAAAAAATATATTTATATACAGTATTATAAAATAATAATAATGTAATAAATTAAAAATAAATATAAATAATTAATAAATAAAATATTATAATTATTAATAATAACAATTACTATTATTGTTATAATTATTATTATAATTATTGCATTATATTATTATATTATTGTATATAAATATCTTTTTTTAAATAAAAAATACGAGTTCACTGTAAAAATAGAGCGTCTTGGTTTAAGACGTTTACGTGGTCACTTCTAAGACGTTTATTAGCGTTTTATTTGCCTTCTAAAATGCATGTATTTTGAGGTTATGTTTTTCATTTAAGACGCTCAAATAAGACGCTTATTTACATAAGACGTTTATAAACGTCTAAACATCTTATTTTGAGACGCCATTTTTGCAGTGTTGTATTGCATAAATATTTAAAAAAGTGGAACGCCATTTGTTGAAAAGTGGTAAAAATTGACTATTTCAACGTTCGAAGAAACATTCAAAATCTCAAAAACTGAAATTTTTATTGTGATAATCTTGTTCCCTGATATCTACAATATAGAAATATTGCTTTGTAGTAGTTAAAAGAAGTGTACATTCTTTTAAAATAAAGTTTTATTAGGAACGCCATTTCGGTGTTTTTGACAGTCTGGGCCTCGGCGCGTGGAACGACATTTAGAACGCCCTGCCAGTGAAGTGGTTAATTTAATACTATTTATTACTAAAAAAGTTAATTGTTTTATAGAAATTTGTTGATTTCTAGTTTTATTTGAAAATGCTATAAATAATCAATAATAAATTGTTTAAACAAATAAAAAAATTATCGTAACATTAATAAACTATATTACTAAGCAACATAAAACAATTATAGTAAAAAATTTCGATTATGTCAAGGTTTTTTTCAAATGTAAATAGAAAATCATTGCAGGGTAAAAAATACCCTGCCTTACGGTTGGTTTTATGCCGGGTTAAATTAGAACCGGGAAAATATATAGTCTTGCTTCAAAGGAAGGAAAACATACTCTAAAATCACGAATCCACGCTATTTGGCTATGTTTTCTTGGCTTTAAAGCATGTCTTCACTGTTAGAAAAATCTGTATTAAATTTAATAAATTGTAGGTATATGAAGCAAATATGCAGTACCATCATTGCAATTTAATATGCATTTTTAATAAGATTAATACACATTTATTTTAAATGTAATACAAATTAAATAGAATTTCAATGCTGGTATTGCATATTTTCTTCATATTATACAATTTATTAATTTTTATACAGATTTTTCTAAATGTGTATATTAGTCCATGCGAGAGAAGTATAGGTACCCGTGTAGAAATTTGTCGTGGCCTTCCTAAAAAATAGACTACAGCTAGATAGCATTTGTCGTGTAAAATTATTCTGAAAAACTGTCCTGGCCCCGAAATGTTAATGTACAGTTTTCCCCTTTATTTTCTTCGCTATGAAGACAGTCTAGAATCTGGCTAAAATTTGTCTAGGATACTGAATTGAAAATTCAGTACAAGTTCGTATAGCAGGTTGTCCAAGAATTAGCTGGGCACTGTCTAGGACGCTGACTTAAGAATTTAGTACAAGTTCGTGGAGAAGGTAGCTCTGAGAGTCTACTAAGCTAGCAGACGAAATCAGTTCTTGACGTAGTGCTTGATGAAAAGAAACCAAGAGTCTACAATTGTAACTTATCTTGTTGTGAAGATAAAATCAAATTTATAAATCTAGTGAAAAGTTTTCAGTTTTCCATTTTTGAACAGGGACAGTGTACAAGTTTAAATATATTACAGCGAAAAGAAGATTTATTAGAAAAAGGACATGTGATGTCATCATTCATAGTCTCAGATTGTTTTTCATATTATAATGTTCATAATAAGTAATAAAACTTTGGTAATTTTAAGTGAATTTTTTGTGATTGCAACAATATAATATACAATTAATTTTATTATCGGTACACAAGTACGAATCTTTGTAGTGAATGTGTTTGTGATTTAATTAAAGAAAAAATCCAATGTAGCAAAATATGTTACAATTAATTTCAAAAATAATTGTAAGAGGAATTGTGATAATAACAAATACTTTTGTATTACTCTTTTGTTTGTTTAAAAGTTAAACAAACAAAAGAATAAAGTTGAAAAATATTGTTCTATTATTTATAAACCTAACAATTATTCCCAGTATGTAGAAACTGCTTATTTTAATATCCAGGAACTGGCTAGGAATGATTTATTTTACTAGACAAGGACTAGACAAAATAACTGTACAAAATCTTGACGTTGCTAGCGTTACATCCCTCGTTCAAGCCTGTCCATTTTTCCTATCTAGTTGCTAGATTGAATCTAGCGCAACTGGACAGTTTTTCATACACTTCCACTGTAAATTTCTACACGGGTAGTGTCAAACTATTAAAGCTAAGTTTTTCTCTCCATGTGTAAAGATATTCTATTTTTGTTTCTAAATAATTATAAAGTAAAAAGAGGAAGAAGAGGCGCGCTTAGCGCGTCAAAATTTATCTAGTTATAAATAAAGAATTATTACATACCCTAGAACTCCCTTTTCTGAAAGTAACTCTTCCTCAACTATAATAAGCTGGGCAATTTCTTCGTCAGTCAAATTCTGATTCGGAATCTCTTCACTATTTTCATCTTTCGGTTTCTGTGGCACTTCTTCAATGACTTCAATAATTTTTTCAATGCTTTCCTCAATAAGTTCTTCCGTGACAGCTTCTTCTACTATCGGTTCTGCAGATAGTTTTGATAAAATGTCTTCCACCGGTTCAAGAGGTGGTAAATCATCCAACTAATAATTGATTAGATTTTAATTTACTTATACATTCTTTTCTTATGTTAAATTAAATTAATAAGCTTATACTAAGGAAATCCACGAAACATTTAACTTTTATAACAATTACAAAGTAACATTTGTGTACAGCATTAGAACAAAATATTATTTCATCTCCAAGGAAATAGCTAACTGACATCTTTTAAGAAAATATATCTGAGCTCCTTTTTATGAAATTTCTAGTACGGCGTAGAATGAAAATAAAAGTTCAAGGTATTTCTAAATACATAGATAATAAAAAACAAAAAATTGTAGACCTTCGTCGTTTATGTGTTTCTAATTGTAATCTTGCAGGAACAATTTAAAGATATTAATAAAAATTATGATTTTATTTAAAATTATAGATTTTTTAAAGGCAGAACTGCAATCTCACACTACCGCGTCCGTGAGTATCAGGACGCCCCTTTTTTCATGAGTGGAAAAATGCTTAAAACGTAGAAAATAAGAATGACAAAAATTTTTCGTATTTTTTTCCTGAAAGCTAATGAAATTATGAAAAGACTGACACCTGATCGAAGAATTTTCGTTGACTATTCTGTCAGATACAGAAAAAATACTGGATTTTGCATGCTTTTCGTAATTTTTTCATTTCTCGAAAACTAATTAACTTTTTTAGCGTTCTTGGTCTTGTTTCAATCTCTATTCAATGTAGAATCTAAATTAATTAATGGTATCGTGATATAAATTTTTCCAAAAAAATTTGAAACTGTGAAAGTCGGATAAAAAAATTTTGAAAAACAGATTAACACTTTTTCAACAAAAAAAATTTCTTTAAATTAAATAATTAAGTAATTAAAAAGCTTTTTTGAATTTTAGTATATCTATTAAATGAACATATTTTACATTGACCTTTTTGACACTTTAATATTCATGATAATTTTTTGAATTTTTTTAATCCTACTTTTACGGTTTCAAATTTTTTTGGAAAAATTTATTTCACAATACCAGTTAATAATTTAGATTCTACATCAAATAGAGATTAAAACAAGACCAAGAGCGCTAATAAAAGTTAATTAGTTTTCGAGAAATTAAAAGATTACGAAAAGCATGCAAAATCCAGTATTTCTTCTGTATCTGACAGAATAGTCAACGAAAATTCTTCGATCAGGTGTCAGTCTTTTCATAATTTCATTAGCTTTCAGGAAAAAAATACGAAAAATTTCTGTCATTCTTATTTTCTACGTTTTAAGCATTTTTCCACTCATGAAAAAAGGGGCGTCCTGATACTCACGGACGGTAGTGTATTTCAAACAAGGCAGTGTATGGTTGGTAGGTTTTTAATAAGGCAATGTAGATACTTGAACACGTATACAAAGTGACAACAATGTGTCTGCAAATTCAAAAAAAATAATTTTTTCCTTGAAAGTAAAAGTTTCGTGGATTTTCTCTACTACGTATTTAAAATGTTTTTGTATGTACATACTGGAAGCAAGATCATCGATCAGCTCACGGGTGCCCTAGCAATAACTGAACGGATTATTATGCGCTAAAATGAAAAGTATCATACATCGCGGCCATACAAACGCAATAGATTTCAACAAACTAACCCTCTGCCTGTTATACACACACTAAGGAGCGGTTGCACAACTTTTTTTAATCAGAGTTTAAATCAGTGAACTTGGTTTAGTAATATTAAATGTAAAAGAAGCTATCAATTATCCGAATCAATTTAAATTAAACATCTTAAATAAATCTCAATAAGCTCATAGATTTCATATGTATCGACAGCACAGCTGCCCGAATACAGAAACAATCAATTTAAATTGATTCGGATAATTGATAGGTTCTTTCATATTTAATATTTAACTGCCGAATGATAAATTCACTTTCTTTAATTTGGTTTAGTAATGTAATTAGATCGAGTTCAACGACTTAAACTCTGGTTAAAACAGTTGTGGAAATGGCCCTAAAACATTTCACTTCAAATGTAAATAAACTAACTTTCAATCTTAAATTAAAGCAGTAACTAAAAACAAGTTACTGTGGTTTATAGAAAGTAAGTATCCTATATCTTAAAGAACTTTAAAACAATAGGCGTACTGAAAAATTGCACCAATGATGCAATTCAATATTACTATTCTTTTAAAGTACCTTATAACGTCACCGATAGTAGCTAACCAAGTAGCACGCTGTATCACCTGAGTGTCATGGCGATATCTATCGGGGATATTCCTGTGATACTGAGGAAGTATCATAATGTCCGCCTTTTTGAATATCCCTGTGACATTCCTGCGATATTGAGGAGATATTGCCGTGACATCGAGGAGATACTGCTGTGATGTTGAGGCGGGATATTGCTGCGATATTGAGGGAATATTGATGCGATATTGAGGGAATATTTCACAAAATTTTTGCTATAAGTTTAAATTTGGACTTATAGAAAAAATTCTGTGAAATATTCCCTCAATATCGCATCAATATTCCCTCAATATCGCAGCAATATCCCGCCTCAATACCACATCAGTATCTCCTAGATGTCACGGCAATATCCCCTCAATATCGCAGGAATGTCACAGGGATATTCAAAAAGGCGGACATTATGATACTTCCTCAGTATCACAGGAATATCCCCGATAGATATCGCCATGACACTCAGGTGATACAGCGGTAACTTTCAATAACTGCACGGAACTGATTTTAAGGTTTTTGTCTTAATAGGGACTTTCATGCACTGGTTAAAACTTACGAGTGGTCCATCTTGGTTAGGCAATGATCTGCGTATTAATCACGAAGGCTGATTAGTGACCGATATGGGGAATCCACACTTCGATCTAAGAAGCTAAGCGTAACGCTTTTTCGAGGCGCTTCCTATCCTATATAAGAAATCTCTAAACGAAAATCTCTCGAAATATAGTAACGCCTATCCCATTGGTTGCTTTCACTCGTGAGCTATACTCAATTGGCTGAATTCATATTTTCTATCTTTGTCTTTTAAACACTTGAAATAGAGAGGTTCATTCACTATATACGAACATATACTTACACATTAAAATAAAAGTAGTGTGGGTAAGAGGGCTATATTCCCTTTATCCAAATCTTTTTCATCATCTTCGTCTTTCAAGTACTTAAAAAAATAGTCTCAATCTTTTTTGGAAATACGTTCGTGAAAATCGTTATCTTAATTAACGCGATTCCTTTAGATATATTATTGACGTAATAAAGTGATTCAATCTAATTAAATAAATTATAAATTAATAAATATGTGCTTTTTAAGGAAACTTATTTATATTTCATTGATTATTATTGATAAGAAATTATTTAGATAAATATAATTGTTAAATAAATTTAATTGAATTAATTTTTAAATGATTAAGTTTTATATATTTAATTTATGTAAATAATATTAATATTAAATTTATTCTAATATAAAATATTTAAAATTGTTAAAATTAAATGTTAAAAAATGTTATGAAAGATTAAATTCAATATAAAAATTTTATACATATTTTAATAACTAATAAAATAATTAATTTTACTAATGTCTTTCATTGCAGATAATAAAACGTATATTTATCTGTTTCATCTGAGAAGTGTGTATTATCTATAAATTTAAAAAGATTAATTCTAAAAGAAATTATTAAAGAAATACATAAACCAACAGAGAAAAGAAGGTCAGAAGAAACTGACAACATTAATAATAAATAAAAGTGTTTGGTTATTAAAAGAATTTTATTATTATATAACGTTTTAAAATTAATAATAATTATATTATTGATTTAAAATAAATATACACTACAGTCAGAAATTGTCGGTACGAACGACGGGCGAGCTAAGAAAAATTGCTGCATTTTCCAATAATAAACTACGTTAATTTAATTTCAGCAGCAATTTTTCTTAGCTCGCCCGTCGTTCGTACTGACAATTTCTGACGGTATATTGTATTTTAAAATTTATTTATTATTAATTTTTTATTATCCTACAATTTTTTGTTTTAAATAAAATTATATTTATATTATAAAAAAGTTTAATAATAAATAATATATAAATAATTAATATATTCATAAGGGTATCCAGCGGTCAGGGAAGTCAGGGAATTTTAATCAAAATCAGGAATTTTTTTAAATTTCATAAGAAATAGATTTTTTTTATTTTTTCAATTTTCAGCCGACCAGATACTTGAATGAGTGAATCACTTTCGTTTATTGGTTCTCTTTCATTTTTGAAATCATCATCAAAAGGCTTTTCTAATTTAAAAACTTTGTGAAAATGATTTTAATTTTATCTCATGGGAACGCGGCTTTAGATCGTGGTTTTTCAATAAACAAATAATTAAATTATTTTATCTTTGTTTTTTTAGATTTTATGTGTGTAATACTTTGTTTACAACAAAAGAAGGTTTATAATGATGATAAATAAAGTGTTTAAGTTCACTATCATAAAATTACGTTAATATTTACCAGCTCACATAATTTTTTTTGTTAAAGATTTGTTATAAAAAAGGGAAGGGAAGAGTCAAGGGAAAGTCAGGAAATTTTTTTCTTAGTACTTGCAGGACACCCTGAATTAATTATAAAATAAATGTATATGTATTTTATAAGTAAATAAAATTTATTTTTGAATAAATACCAAGAACCGTTTCGAAATTGCTTCCTCATAGAGGAAGGATTGTATTAGCAAAATTTTTGATTGTGATTTTTTGACATATGTATTTACAAACTTTTTTTTATTATACCTAATCTTTTAGTACTTTATGCACGAATGGGCAATATAAAAAAATTGTTATGTAATTTTATCTCTGAAGTCCAGAAAACGGATTTTAAAAAATTGTCCCGATGTGTATGTGTGTGTACTAACATTACATTTGCCTCAATATCTCAGAACGAGAAAGAGCTAAAGGCCTCAATTTTTTTTAAATTGTAGGTCTCCCCGGGGGACATAAAATGAGAGTATTTTCAGCCCGATTCATAAAGTTTAACTATATTTTTTTTGCATTTTTCATTTTGTAAAAAAACGTTTTT